GTAAGCTGATTTTCGGGAAGATTGCGGACAGTTCTGTAGAAAGTGTCCTCTCGCTAGTTGGGCTCCTTTCCTACTGTGAGTGGCTGGCTATCTTGGGGCCCCGCGGCCCCCCCCCCCCACACACACACTTCTCTCTTGTGGAGGTTCGCCCTGGACTGACTGTCCGGGCTGTGTGCTGGGTTTCTGCACTGTGGGCTGGTGGGTGCGAGCACCATCCCTGGGTCCTCGGGGACACATGCTTTCCGTGTGTGGGGAAAGGTGGGGAAGGTCCGTGCTGGTTTATTTGCAGCTGTTGAGTGGGGTTTTGTTTTCCTTCCTAAACATGAGTAAATTTTGCATCGAGCCAACTAGTTCTTTTAACCCTAACTCTGGTAGTTACTTCAGTTGAACGCTGTGTGCCCTTGGCTTCCACATTACACATTCTCTGGGAAGTTCCTGCTCAGCACCCTCCACTACCTGGGCCACCTCTCGGCAGCTTGGTGCTGGTCTTCATCTGCCCCCTGCCCGCAGCCTCGCTCCTTCCTGTGGCCCTGCAGCACTCACAGGTGACGGCTCTCACACCTGCGTCTCCAGCCTAGAGCTCTCCTCTTCCCCAGGCCCCTGCATCCAGCTACTTTTCTCCTGAGCACTGGTATGTTAAACAGTGAACTTCTGCTGCCAACCTCTTCCCATTTTCTGCATTTCCAAAAGTGCCCAAACTACCCCCCACTTGTTCAAGCCAGAAACCTTGAGAGCTCGTCTTTTCTCACGTCCTCATATCCAGTCCAGATGTAGGGTCATCCTTGACCACGAACCTTCGTGGCTGTCGCCAGCCTGGTCTCGGCCACCAGCCTCCTAACCCAGCTACTACTGCCCCTCCACTCTCGCCCTTTCGCTGTCTTTCCTGTGCACAGCTGGGATGGTCTTTGGCATACAGGTGGACCACTCTCCATCCTGCTCAGAACTCTCCCTGGCTTGCCGTTACTGAAGATGAGACCCCAGCTCATACTGTCGGCATTGGGGGCCCAGCCACTGAATGCTTTGTCCCAGGTCTTTCCTTGATCTTTGTAACTGGTTGTTTTCATAACTGCTCGTTCGGGGGTCATGGTTCCACATCCTCTTTCCCCTCTGAGGTTATTATGTGGGTGCCCCTTAAAATCTCTGACTCAGGGTCCTGTTTTGGGTTTGGTGCCGCGCTCATCTCTGATGCCCCTTGACTGCTGTCTGCTTGCTAAGGGCTGCCCCCAGGGCTGGGCCCGGATGGTGGGGGGAGGCAGGCAGGTGCCAGAGCTCTCCCCTAGGTGTGAGGCTTCCCTTTCTCCTGGAAGTCGCCATTCTCCAGACTGCCCTGGTCTTTGGCCCACATCCCTGCCCCCCACCCAGGGAGTCTCCACTGCCAGCGGGTGGCAAAGGCTTCTCCGGATCGCCTTTCTTTCTTCTCTTCTGACCTCTTAAACTGTGCTCTCTATTATATGCCTTCCACGGCACTACTGGTGTAGATTCTCTTCCCTTGGCTGAACCTTGAATAACATTCCTGAAGCTAATTTTGTCTATCAAAATGTTAATGTATTCTTTTCTTTGCTCAGTTTATCAGAGATTCACTTGTTTTCCTTGGTCCTTGGTTTTATTTATTGAGCAATTATACTGTTTTTTGTTTACTCTTCTTTTTTCGTTAGTTTGTGTTATTGTCTTTTTTAATTTTCCCCACCACCATCCCTTCGACCTAGTTCCATTCTTCCTCCCCATCCCTCTTAACGTCACAGACTCACCATGTTTATTAATGTCCACTAGTTTTTGTATTTTACAAAAATCATCTGCAGATAATTTTACAAATTATCTGTTATGTAAACTTACAGTATTTCTTTTTGTCATTCTGACTTTGCTTTACCACACACAGTTCTCCAAGCGCCTCCATTTTGCTGAAGATGTCTGCGTTTCTTCTTTCCTCGTGGCTTAGTGATGTTCTGTGATGTGGACATACCACGTCTCATTCATCTGTCTTTTTTTTTTTTTTTTAAGATTTATTTATTTATGCTTACAGAACTGAGGCACAGACCAGAGGTGTGGTGGGTGAGAGGATTCACCCGAAACAGAGTGGGGAGCAGAACAGGGAGACTGAGGCGAGCAGCCAGTGGGGGTGACAGGAGAGCTCTGCCAGGCCATGTGGGTCAGCTCCCTGGCCCTGATGGAACCTGCGCTGCACTGGCCTCGGGGAGCTTCATAATGCGGTGCTTTAACCCATTGCGCCACCAGGGAGAGCCCTGATCCTGTCATTTTAATGTTCTTGTTTTCTACTAGATCTTGAAGCTAGTTTACATTTTCCTCTAGTACAGTTTGCAGTGTCTCATAAGTTTTTGAGGTGTAGACATTTTAATTACTGTTCGTGTCTAGCTAGTCTAATTTTAATTAAGTTTCCTCTCCAACATAAGAGAAGAATTTTCTTTCATGTTTTTGTATTGTATTTTTAGTTTCTCCTCAGACAGTTTCACTGGTTTGAGCTCTACTTTGGGGGATGTTGTAAAGAGTCTCTTCTTTCTTGTTGTTGGAACCAGGCTTTGAGCCAAAGACTCTGACCCACAGCCCAGCACCCGACACAGGCTCTGAGTTATGCCCCCTCTGAGGATCCTACTTTGGCCACCTGAGTTCTGGCCAGCTGAGTGAGTGAGTTCTTCACCATAGGGCCTTGGGATAACCGAGACACGGTGTCACACTTCATGAGCTCTCGAATTCCTTCCAGCATTAAAAAAGACCTAAAAAAATAATAATAACCAAGTTTCCAGTCTCAGTGGAAGAGATAGAGGAGACGCATAAGGACCTGGGGGCCCAGAGATGAGGTGTCTTGTCTGCCTGTGGGGATGAGTTGGCATTTCAGATAATACCCTCAGGAATCATTCATTCATTTTTTTTTTAGATTTATTTATTTATTCATACAGAACTAGGGTACAAGCCAGAGATGCAGAGGGTGAGAGGATTCACCAGGAACAGAGTGGGGAGCAGAACAGGCAGATTGACAAAGTACACTGCTGAGGGGAGCAGCGGGCGTGTCAGGAGAGGTCTGCCTCGCCATGTGGTCACCTCCGGGGCAGGCGGGGATCGAACTCATGTGGAAGTGGCTTAAGCCTCTCAGTGCAGTGCTTTAACCTGCTGCGCCACCAGGGAGGGCCTGATTCACTCTTTTAACGAATATTTGATTACACCTGTCTGCTGTTTTCTGGTTGCTGAAGATGAACACAGTGAAAAGATGAACAAAACCTCCGCTTTGGTGGAGAGTATTATGGTGTAGGATCTTGACCGTTTGCTCTGGCCGACCAGACGGGGAGGCAGCCCCTCCTCTCCCCTGTTATCTTCATGACCCAACTCTTTCACTTAGGCACTTCCTCCCGTCTGCGTGGTTCCCGGAGCCATAGTGTTCTGAAGGAGATCCGAAAACTTCAGAAGAGCACCCACCTGCTGCTCAGGAAGAGCCCCTTCAGCCGCCTGGTGAGCCCCGAGAGCTTCCTGCCAATCCGCATGCTGCCTCATCTTTTTTTAATTTCCCAAATGTTGGGGTTCCTGCTGTCTCTTGTTTAATGGCTAAGGGAACTCTTCTCTAACCTGGGAGCCACTTTCCATCTTCTGAAAACACAAACCTTCTAAGGGCCCCTAAATTCATTAAGGAATTAATTTTTAACCCTATCACCTTTTAAAGTGTGTTCTCTTATTATAGAAACAGGAATCCTCTCATCCACCACACTCTGATCCCCTATCCTGTCCCAGGAGACTGCCTTTCCCTCTCCCCAGTACAGTAACTTCCTAAGTCCAGGAAGTGACCATGGCCACTGGTTAGGTCTTAAGATTAAGGCCTAGGAAGGCAGCATGAAAATGAAGGTCCATGGAGACCCCAGGAAAGCATCTGTTTTCCCTGAATCGCTCTCCTTTTTTGTCTCCACACCTCCCCCTCCCCTTCTCCCTTGTTCTTCATCTCCGTTCTTGCATAGGTAAGAGAAATATGTGTTAAATTCACTCGTGGTGTGGACTTCAGTTGGCAAGCCCAGGCCCTCTTGGCCATACAAGAGGTAAGAAGGGGCCAAGGTAGTTGGGTGAGGGGTGAGTCTGGGAGAAAGGCATTCTTCATTCTGGGAACTTACCTGTTGGGGGTTGGCAGCTGCATTCTTGTTGGAAACTGGGTAGCAGAATCCCCAGCAGAGTTCTGTTCCATTCTGTAAACAGCCTTTCCTACCGCTCTTTGCACCCTCAGAGACCAAGTTTAGCCTTTCTCCAGGAAAAAAGATAGGCCCCAGCCTGCGTCCGTCTTTCTCTTTCTCTCCTGGCCCCAGGCAGCAGAAGCATTCCTGGTTCATCTCTTTGAGGATTCCTATCTTCTCTCCTTGCACGCGGGCCGCGTCACCCTCTACCCGAAGGATGTGCAACTGGCCAGGAGGATCCGAGGCATCCAGGAGGGGCTGGGCTGAGCTCCCGCCGCTGCCTCTGTACGCCCTTCCTGCTCAGTGGAGAGGGGGCGCTTCAGGGACAGAAACATGCAACTTTTCTTCACGGGGGTGGAAGTTTCTCCGAAGGATTTCCCTTCCCGTCCTTAGTCTTTTGCCATCTCATCTTCCCTTTGTCGCTAGGGGAGACTTGACCTCTTTTCAGTTTGAATGCTTGGAACACTGGCTTAAGGCTGTTGTATGCTATTAAGTATTTTTCTATTAAGAAGTGACCAGATGACCTGAATCTGACAGAATTAAGCCTCCCCACTTCATAAGGACAAGGGGACCTCATTTTGAGGAAGTTGTCTTCCTTTGGAAAGTACCTTGTTGGTAAAGGTGATTCTTAAATGTCAGGGGTTTTGCAAGGGACCCTGATCAGAGCTGGAACCAGACCCCGAGTCTGAGCTGCCCTCAGGGCGCGTGTGACCGCTGTCCTTTTCCCAAGGAAAGCACTGCTTGGCCCGCCTCTGTAACAGAGGTGCCAGACAAGAAACCAGCCCAACTCCAAAGGCTCCAAGTGGTTAAGGGTCCAAGAGACTCCAAGGTTGACTTCCGTTCGTAAGTGACTCATGACTGGTGGGTGGTTTTGAAGACATCAGTTTGCTGGGTTATGGAAGAAAAGGACATTTACTTATTATCTTAGATCATTCTGTAAGCATTTAAATTTTTTATCATATGTATATTTACTTTTCCTTAACATGTAAGGGGAAAGTTAAAGACTTCAGTCATTTCAAAGAGAAAATGTGAGGCACATCTCACACGCCAGTGTCCTTCAGATTAAGCTCACCCTTAGCAGCGCAGGTTCCCGTGAACTATTCCTGTTAACAATATGTAAATTTTCTGCAACTTAACTGGGATTAAAATAGAAAATCTTCAAGGTTTGACATTTCTTCCAGTAAATTCCTCTCAAAATCATTCAAAATTCTAACTTACAGAATTTATCTTATTCTAATTTATAAATCATAGAAAATGTAATATCATTTATGCTTTGAATTTTTTCATTCCACGATTTTAAAGTGTTCTTTCAATGTTTTTATTGTTGTTTTTATGGCTTTTTTGTGGCAAGATAAGAAAAATAAAGGTCATTTTCTCTTCTTTTTCTAACGATTTATTTATTTATGCTACAGAACTAGGGTATAGGCCAGAAGTGCAGGGGTGGTAGGAGGATTCACCAGAGACAGAGTGGGGAGCAGAACAGGCAGACCAATGAAGTACACTGCTGAGGGGAGCAGCAGGCAGGTCAGGAGAAGTCTGCTCCGCCATGTGGATCATCTCCGGGGCTAGGTATGGAACTCACACTGAAGCGGCTGCAGCTAGCTTGCAGTGCTGTGTCCTAACCCGTTGAGCCATCCGGGAGGGCCTATAAAAATAATTTTCTAATAAAAACTTTTTTACATGAAGTTGCTATTACAGCAGGCAGAGGTCATACTGTATTTTTGTGTGTTAAGTTTAAGTTCTTCATTGTACAATTTACAAAAGTCTTAATTAAGCAAAGGTTTTAAGCATGTGTTTTTACTTCTAGTTGAGGATGGACAGGTAAAATCCTTACTCATATATTTAACTGAAAACAGTTTAAAAGATTTTCAGAGACATGTCAAATGCCATGAAGATTTTTAGATTTTTCTGCATGAAAATGATTCATGAGAACAGTCATGGAATTCCGGACACCGAAGGGAAGAACCAATTTCTAATGTTTCATTAACTTCACGCTTTTGCAAACCTATTCTTGTTCCACATTAACTCATATTCATGCAGATATTTGAATAAAACTTACTCATCTATGACTATAATTAAAGGTCTAGTCAGAGTATTATTAGGTACAGTCTTCCCTTAGTTTTCTTTAAATTGCCACTATGCAGCACTCAGGACACCACTACCACCTTTGACAGTTGTCTACTCAGATGCCAAGTGGGACACACGCTCACAGCATGCAGGTCACGAGAGTGATAAGATGTCACCCCATGCTAAGACCACACCAGATGGGAATATAGAGAAACATAAAGGATTAGTCAAAGCCCAACCAATGATAAACTCAACGTCTGACTGCAAAACTGAGGCTACCAGAGGGTGGGGCAGTGGGGTGGCCAGTGGAGGCCACAAGACCGGCTGAGCCAGATGCAGAGATGATGCTTTTTCCATCTTCATGGCAATGAGGTCAGCTTTTGGGGGGGGGTGTTTTGGGGGGCGGTGCAGCAAAAGATGCTGGCAAGAGAGCAGAGAGGCAGAGAGTACTGTGCATTCATCTTGGCCGCTTATTTCTGTGACTTGGGTCTGCAGAATGCTAAGTGCCATCTCTGCCATGTGGCCACTCAACAGCCCTGGAGCTGTTGCCACAGAACTGTGACGACAGCAGTGTCCCTGGTGCTGCACCCCAAGAAAGGTGCCGTAACAGCCCACTCAGTTGTAGTATGACTTTCATGCTCCTGCTCCTTCTACCTATCACAGTCCCATTTTGCACAGCTTCTCTGAGCTGCTTCCTCTGCTAGGGGCTGCCCTACTTGGGAATTCTCTGATAAAGCCAGGAAGCTCTTTTTAAGTTTTACTGGGTTGAACTTTGTTTCTAAAATACTCATAAAAGTCTTCCAAAAGTATGGCTTCTGCCGAATATCTTCTGTGCTCCCTCAAGACTCTGCTTTGGAAACACAAAAGACGGGATTAACTTTTCCCCCTGTTTTCTGTGCAGCTCCTCATTCCCTCCCCAGGCAGTGGATATTTGAATATTTGAGCTGATGCAATGGGGGAAGAACCAAAAAATGCAGAGGAATTATTCCTCTGTGGTCATTTAAAAATATCCTCGATATTCCAGCTACCGATAATTTTTCCAGAAAGGTAAAATCGCATGTATACTAATACAGAACAAACATGTTGAAGATTTTATTCAACTCATTTGTTACTGAAAGAACCAATAAGATATAAAGGTATTAATAAGAAGTCCAAAACCAACCACATGTGTGCACAAGCAGGAGAGCTGAGATGGATGCATTAACATGCTATGGCCTCTCACCTGACAGAATTAACTGCATCTTGGGGCCTCCCTGATGGCAAAAGGGGTTAAGTCTCAGCACTATGAAGCTATCACCAGCCACTGTAACAAGAGTTAGATCCCCCAGCCAGGAGCTGATCCACATGGCACAGCAGACCTGTTTCACCCGCAGTTCTCCTCAGCAATGTATTTCAGCCTGTTCTGCTCCCCACTGTTTCTGGTGAATCCTTTCACACCCCCACACATACCTCTGACCTGTTACTTGTATTCATAAATAAATAAATAAATATTTTTTAAAAAGGAATTAGGGGGCCCTCCCTGGTGGCGCAGCGGGTTAAAGCACAGCACAAAGAAGCTTAAGACACTTCTGCATGAGTTCGATCCCTGCCTGCCCCGGAGGAGATGCACATGGCGAGGCAGACCTCTCCGGACCCGCCCACTGCTCCCCTCAGCAGTGTACTTCGTCGATCTGCCTATTCTGCTCCCCGCTCTGTCTCTGGTGAATCCTCTCACCCTCCGCATCTCTGGCCTGTACCCCAGTTCTGTACAAATAAATAAATAATAAATCTTTAAAAAAAAAAAAGGAATTAGGGGTCTTCCCTGGTGGCACAAGGCCTGTACCCCAGTGCTTGTATGCATAAATAAATTTATATTTTTTAAAAGAATAGGGCCCATCTGGTGGTGCAGTGGTTAAAGCACAGCACTATGAAGCTAGCCACAGTGCATCAGCAGTTCGATCCCCAGCCAGGGAGGTGACCCACATGGTGCAGCAGACCTTTCCCAACCGGCCTGTCGCTCCCCTCAGCAGTGTGCTTCGTTGGTCTGTCTGTTGTGCTCCCTACTCTCTGGTGAATCCTCTCACTGCCCCTGCAGCCCTGGCCAGTACCCCAGTTCTGTATGCATAAATAAGTAAATCCTTAAAAAATAAGTAAATAAATTTAAAAAAGAATCAACTTCATCTTTACTGGAAAGAATGTATCTACATGTCTATAAACAGGAGCCATTTGCAATTGCCATTAATCCTTGTCATATTTTATTCTAGAGAGTTACAAATGATCAAAAATGAAAAACATAGACTGTTTGGAATCAGACAACCCCATAAATGTGGAGTCCCACAGAAAGGATATTTTAGTGGATCCCAGAATCAAGTACTGCAACACAAACTGGGTGCTCTAAAACAACAGAAATTTATTTTCTCTGTTTTGGGGGCCAGAAGCCCAGGGCCAGCCCTTCCCAAGGCTTTAAATGAATACATTTTGTTCTTCTTTATATATATATATATATATATATAATAAAGCATACATAAAGACAAAATTATACTGACAAGACACAATCTCTAATACCTAGGTAAATTTAATGAAACTAATGAATGATCTTCTATATTGTTCATGAAGGCATTAATGAAGAAATCAAAGAAACAACCAAGAAAACAATGACTTTTGCCCACATGTTAACATAAAGTCACTCATCGGTTACCAGAAGCGATATGTTTGGGAAATGCAGTTCTGTCCTTGTGTGGATATTATTCCCACACAGTAACTTTTCCATCTCACTGGCGTAGCAATTCAGGAGGAGCCGGGTCGCGCAGCCCACTAACTGCTCCTGAGGGACGCTGGCCGTGCATGCTTCCGAGGCACAGGGTGGCAGGAGCTGGGGAGTACCTGGCTGATCCTGGCTGATGGAGCAGCTCTCTGCTGGGCACGACAGCGTCTCACATGCTGGCATGTTGCATGCGCTCATCTAACTTCAGACTCAGCCATTATAAATGAAAGCAAATAAAAACCACTTCCCAAATTGTGTCCTTTGTGTTTCACATCCTGGGAGAAACATACTCTTCCTATTCTGGAACAAACTGCTCTTGAGACCCTTGAGGTAGGGTCCCGAGGACACTCCCCGACGAGTGTCCTTAAGACTCTTTCAGAGCATTCATGAGATGGAAACTATTGTAACCTTACTGAGCTATTTCTCTCTTACCTCTCATTTTCTCATGCATATAGAG